CCCCCCCCCCCCCCCCCCGAAAAAGCTAGGCCAAACGGGGGGGGGCACATAGCCTCTTGTCTTCTCGAGTTCTTATGCTAGTAGCTGGTACGATATATACTACATCTCTCACAAAATGAAGTTTACACTGACTTTGTAGAGTTTAAGAAAGATGTTGAAAACTGAATGGTGTGTGATTAAAAAAAAGTGTAAACCTCATTTTGGTACCTACATCTAAAAAAATGTAAACTTTGGGACGGAGGGAGTTCATTATTAAGGTTAAACCATACTGAAAGTAGGCTTTCTATAACTAAGAAGCATTTGGAGGGTAACAGAAGGAAGAGATTTTTTAGGAGAATTATACATGTTCTATGTTAATAAATTAAAAGCCATGACTTGAGTTTATACAAATTTATCATTTGTAATCTTTTATTTCTGAAAACTATGAGAAATTTGAACTCCCCTTTTCCTCCAAAACCCATCACCCAAGCACATCCTTCCACTATACATGCCTTACTTTCAACTGAAATTTTATTGTTATAACATGCTGTGATTTTTATGATTTGTACTGCTAACAGGTAGCCATATTTTTGGTTCTATCAATGGTATTGCGACGGAAACCTGATGTTTTGATCACTATAATGCCAAAATTGAGGGAAAACAATAAGTATGAAAAGCAAGAGACACTTCCTGTCATGGTTTGGGTGACAGCTCAGGTCCTTACCTTATAACGTTATTCTTTCTATATATATAGGCCTTGTTTGAGAACAATGTTTTCAGTTATCATTCTGGATAATTCTTAATGGCGCGGATTAACTTTGAAAACACTGTCATTAGATTGCATTTTCAAAATGCTATAGATGTTGCCAAAACCGCACATTCTTTGCTTCTGATTCATTTGTACCCTTAAGTGGACTGGCATTCGATAACTATATTCGCTTTTTTGTAGGCTTGCCATGGGGATATGTGTGTAGGGTTGTACCTGTGGGCCCATTGGATCTTGCCTTTAGTTGGAGGCAAATCAGGTTCGAATCCACAGGCAAGGGACTTGATTCTGCAGTCAGTGGAAAGGTTGATATACTCAGTTTTTTTTTTAATTTTTTATTTTGACTTGTAATGGTATTTAAATTTTGTTACCTTTTTTTATGTGGTTATAGGATCCTATCTGCACCAAAAGCTCGTACCGTTTTAATAAATGGCGCTGTTAGGAAGGGGGAGCGTATAGTGCCACCGTCAGCACTTGATTTGCTCTTACGAGTGACATTTCCTGCACCGTCAGCACGAGTTAAGGTTGGTTGATTATGGCCCACCGAAGTAATCTTTTTTGAAAGTGAAAATATTTAAAAAGTATTGGGCAAGTTGGATTTTTGCAATCAAACTAGATGAACTTTGAACTTTAGTCGCATATTAATATGCAATGCAATTTTTTTGTTTATCTATGACCAAAGTTTGTTCAAATTGGCTGAAAAAGGTCTAATTGTCTGGGGGATGCACAGGAGTAAAAATTTGACAATTATTGGAATTCAGAAACATGAATTTATTGTTTTTGAAAGCATATTTTCTTATTCAGACACGGTCTATAATACCCATGGCCCATTAGGTGAGATTTATCTCGCTGGAATGGACGAATCTGTTAAGTTTTTTCTCTAATAAAAAATCGTTTGGTAACATCCATTTCATCCAAAGCTAGACAAGGCTACCAAACAGGGCCTTGAAATCTTTATGAAATCCATTATTTTCCATAACAAAGAGTATATGTAACATCCACACAACTGCTTTGAATGTGCAAAACTGAATACACAAAGTGTTACCAAATAGACATTTAGCATTTAAGGCCTCGTTTGGGAACATCATTTTCATGCTTTTTTTGTTTTACGTGTTTTCAGGCTACCGAAAGGTTCGAGAAAATATATCCCACTCTCAAAGAGATAGCTCTTTCCGGTTCTCCTGGAAGCAAAGCAATGAAGCAACTTTCCCAACAAATCTTCCCAATTGCTGTGAAGGTCTCCGGGGAAGGTAAATTGCACTTCAAACCCCCCGCACTTTTTCCAAGTTACGTTTCTTGCCCTGTTTGGTTGAAAAGTTAATACTTTCTACTTTTACAGGCACTCCCGCCCTATCTCAGGAAGGGACTAACCTCTTTGTGTGGTGCTTGTCCCAAAATGTTGATTGTTACCGGCAGTGGGTAATGTTCTTTTCTAACATTCTTTATAAATTATATATTATGGATTATTATTATGATTCCTACCTGCTCATTTAATAACAAGTTGTGATGAGTTTTCAATCCAGGACAAGATCTATGCAGACAACATAGAAGCCAGTGTTGCTGCCTTGAGAAAACTCACTGACCAGTGGAAAGTTTTGTCTGCTGATAAATCGTCTCACGATGTTCTCCGAGAAACTCTCCTGCATTTCAGGAACAAGGTATTATGAACATTCTCATCATTACTTCCTCTTCTTCTTCTTCTTTGTCCCTGTTCTTGTTCTTGTTCTTGTTCTTGTTCTTGTTCTTGTTCTTGTTCTTGTTCTTGTTCTTGTTCTTGTTCTTGTTCTTGTCCAAGTTCTTGTTCTTGTTCTTGTTCTTGTCCAAGTTCTTGTCCTTGTGCAAGTTCATATTCTTTTTAAAACTTATGTGTAGAATGAGAAAGGGGAAGGAGTTGATGCTGCGAACCAGGCGCTGCTTAAGGACGCGGACAAGTACTGCAAGATCTTGTTGGGAAGGCTATCGCGTGGGCCCGGATGCCTCAAGAGTTTTGCCGTGGTGGCGGTCTTGCTTGGCGTGGGGGCTGCGGTCGTCACGTCCCCGGATATCCAATCTTGGGATTGGAACAAGTTTTCGGCTCTCCTCACCGCCCAGTAATTCACCCGGACGAGACACCGGACACGACTCACGAAGGAGGTTTTATTGATTTTTTTTTCTCTTAGGGGCGAAGGGTAATTACGTAATAAACATTTTGCTCGGAACGAGGGGGCAAATCCGGTATTTATATAGTGTTGTTTCGTCGTGTCTGGTCGGTCGGTCGGGTAACGGGTGGTAGGATAGCTTGGGGAGATGATGATGACAACAATGGATTCTTCCCATGGAGAAATGATGTTGAAAATAGGGTGTTAAGATGAGGCTAAATGGGTCTCTAAAATCTATACTTTGCTTTGTTGTTCTAATTTTAACTTTTTTTTTTCTTTGTTTTGTTTTTTCTGATGAAACTATGTCATACATACATACTCAAATTGTACTTCAAAATAGGATTATGTCATGTTTACCCTTTTGGATTTTCATTAGTTATTCATCTTAATACTCCATTGGTGCTTAAAGTTTTTATTTCATTTCTCTCATTTTTATATACTACTTCCGTCATTGTATATTTTTTGCAATTTATTTTTTTGTCAAAATATATAGGTTTTGATTGCGTTAAATGGTTTACAAAGTGATTTGTTATTTTATCAAATTATCAGTGTAATGAGAAAACAACAATTATATTGTAATTCTTTAATATATTTTTTTTCTTCTGAGAATTTTAGTTGGAGGGAGTAATTTTTAGAATTAATATAAAGGGTATAATAGGAAATCTTACCTTGAAATTTTGTCAAAGCTCTTACTAACTTTCTAGAAAATATGAGAAAATTGCTCCAAATTGGACAAAAACGTGGTTGTCTTTCCCCCACACGACTTAATTTTTTATTCTTTAAAACATTTAATTAATTAGACAAGTATTAATGTAAATTTACATAAATAATAATGTCCTAAATCAAGTTATTTGTTTACTATTTACAAAATGAAAGCGTGAAATTCTATTTACTTTCTTTTTCTATTTTTATTATTCGATAAAACAATGTTGTCATATCACATCTTCTACAATGTATTTGTCCAATTAAATTAATTTAAGTAGATTTTTATTAAGATAATGAAATAAAATATTTAAAAAAATATTTTCACGACATAAATTTAATTAAATGAATTTCGTTTAAATTGAACCTCACTTTCACAAATACCCATGAGTTGTTCAAATACATTTTCACAAATAAAAAGAAACACAACGTGCCCTCAGTCATTTTAGCCAAAGTCTTCCATGTATAGATTAGCCTAAACCTTTTTGCTTATGAGTGATTACCACTCGCTTTCGGTAATTTTTTTAATTGCTAAAAGTATTAATAAAAAAAATATAGTACTCCATTTGTCCAATGGAGAATCATATCTTAAATATATATTTTTTTCAAAAAATGATTCATACATAATTAGAAGGATTTAAGTTTAAACTCCATAACTTTTCATTCATTATTCACAAAGTCAAACATAATTCATTTTTTTTATATATATTTTTATTAATCATTGATAAGATAATACATATGTATCACCATTTATTTTATGAAACATTTATTGTAAAATCTAAATATAATAATCCTTCCGTCTTAGAAAACTTTTCATGTTTTGACTTTTTTTGGTCAACCAGTGAAATTCTTGGACTACAAATTAAACACAATTTGAATAAACTAATGTTATAAAAATTTGATATATCAAAACTATATCCTAAGATGAACCCAGTTGTATTGAATTTACATTAAAAAGAAATATATACTTTTTTCTAAATTCATGGTCAAAGAGTGTCACAATTTCATCGAAAAAAACAAAAACAAAAATAATTTTCTTGGGCAAAGAGAGTAAACTAAAATAATTTTAATCAAACATCGTAAATGGTAACAATTTTTTTTTGAATAAAAATAGAAAAGAGTAAGTATAAGAAAGAACAAAAGAATCATAAAAAATGAAATGTTTATCTTAATGTTCATTTCAAGGGAAACACAACACACTATTAATGCATATGAAATTTACAACAAGTAACATTCCACATTTGTTTATTGTCTACGTGACAAAAGCAAAAGATTAGGTTTAAATTGTTGATGATGAATGAGTGCCAGCATGCGAAGTGGGACCCACGTTTACTATTTTTCTTGGTCTTGTGGGGGCCCACACACTCTATTCCCAAGCAGCAAAAAAGAGAGGAGTGGAGTTTGCAGGTTTTGCCAAAGTAAAAGAGAAAAAGTCATTTTAGTATGGTCCAAAGTATACTCCTTATTTATTCTCAATCAAAAAAAAAAAGGAAAAAGATAAAGGAACTTGTGAGTTGTGAGAGTTAAAAAGCTCATATCAGGTCCGACAAGAAAAGATTATAACAAATAAAAATAATTTTAAATATAACTACATTCAAATTAGATCATATCAGATCAGGTCAGAATTTATTCCAATCAGATCAAGTGAAGAGAACATGACCTTAAATGACAAAAAAGAGACTCAAATTGGACAAATAAGAAGTATTTTTATTTGCTAGAAGATTTAGATTACTAGACATCCTTTATTTCAAATCTTTAAAAATGAGGTGTTTAGTGGCTTACAAATGTTATTAAATCATACTTCCTCCGTTCTAAAATTTTCTTCCCAGTGTGGTTTACGAAGTTTGACTGAAATTATTTTTCATTTAATTTATTTGACTATAGGTGTAAAATTAAAAAATAAAAATTATATATTTAAAAACTACATCAAAGGTTCTACAAAACAATATGTGACATGACTATATTATTTTATCAAATAATCAATAAAAATAGGTAAAAAGTGATCATAGTTTAACTATATGAATAGTGTCTATGAAAAAAAAATTAGGACAAAGGGAGTATTTTTTAGCTAGTATGTACTAGTCCGTATAAAAATTATTTAAAGTATTAATGCTAATCACAAAATGATTTTTGAACAAAAACTTTTTGTGAAGATAGTTCAATCAAATTGGAGCCTAGAAAAGAATTCATATATACAATATACGTACTCTAACTGCTTCAACGACTACAACCTCTGGTTCTATATTTAATTATTTAATTTATGAGTGTATTAATCTTTTGGATGAATGAAAATTATTTATATTTTTTCTTAAAGTATTTATATTTATTCTGATCATACTTTATTTGCTAATATTCATTGAAAAAAATCATCTATTGTTAAGAATAACTCCAACGGCAACTCCATCCCCAGATGAGCTATACACTCACTTTTACGATTTTTTGATATTTTTTACTATATCAGTCCTTAAATATTTATTCAGTTTTGACTTTTTTCAATCAATCATTTTTAGTGTTTGACTTATAATTAAATAGAATATATATTGCATATTACTTAGATAAAATAGTATTGTAAAAATATGTTATATAATAAATCTAATAAAATTAATTAATCAATATTTATGAATATTTTTTTTAATTTGAGGTCAAATTTATCAATTTTGATCGAAAAAAATTGAAAGTGTAATCTAAGATAGACGGAGTACTCCTAGGGGTGTAAACGAATCGAATCGAAGCGAATATCGATATATTTGAATTTGTATTTGTTTAATTTTTTCGAATACGAATCCGAATCAGAATATGAGACGAATTCAAAATAAGATTTGAATAAGTATTTGATTAATATTCGAATAGTTATCGAATCATAAACGAATATTTGAATAATCATACTATGTAATTTATATTATGGACCAACATAATTTGTAATTTAACTTACGATACTCTTTATACTATACTATATTCCGTATATAAAAACATTAATACATTTGCATCTTACACAAATTATATTTTATAAAATATAACTATTAAAAATTATATGCTTTAGATTTTCGTGTTACGTTAATTTATTGAATTCTTAGTATTTAAATACACTTTATACTATATTACTTTGTTTGACTTTTGATGTTGAAAACATGGTCTGTGTATATATACATATATTCGAATATTCGAATATCATCCGAATCGAATATATCCATATTTGTATTTGTATTTGATTAATATTCGAATCAAAAATAATATTTGAATTTGAATTTGTATTTGAATAACGCGAATTCGAATCATCATATTCGAATACGAATCGTGAATCGAATTTAAAATATTTGATTTGTTTACATCCCTAAGTACTCCAATGCTAAGACAAGTCGTGGTAACTTTGGGATAGTGACTAATTGAGACATATCCTTTGAGTTATCTCTTTTATCAATTTTAGGACAAGGTTGTGAGGGACCTTTTAAGGTCATATTCTCTTCACCGGATTTAATTGATTCTGATTTGATTGGAATAAGCTTTGATCTAGTCTGGACTAATCTGATTTGGATGTAGTTATATTTAAAACTATTTCTGATATACTCTGATATGATCTGCTCTGATCTAATCTGATTCTAATATGAATAAGTAATAAGTAAAAAATTAGTTTGGGAGAACATGACCTATGTTGGGAGTTTCACTAATTAATTGTCTCACTTTTATTTTTAGTTCGTTCGAGAATAATTACGTCACTGAGTCACTAGTTTATTTTCCTAATTAAGTAAGGAATATATGGTCTATAATACTCCCTTCGTCCCGAATTAGATGCCACTATTACGACTTCTCGATAACTTCTACTCCGTATTTCTTTGTATAATTTCATTAATAATTTGATAAAATAAAATATTTTTGCCACATCTTATTTTATAGAGCTTTTATGTACTTTTAAATGGTGTAATTTATAATTTTTATTTTTATACTAAACGGTAATTAAAATAATTTTAAAAATTATAAAATTTTGCACGTTGTATCCAATACGGGACGGAGGAAGTATTTATCTTTCATGTAATCAAAATTCAACCACTCATTTACTTTTCAATGTTATTTATAAATTCTATAAAATTAAGCTAGAACGATTAATTCAAGACGAAGAGACTATATATGTTTCGTAAAATAGGTTTTGTTGCCTTATATCATCCAAAACATATGTCTTATTGTCTATCCAAATAATGTTGTTCTTATGAATTTGATCAAGACTTTGCACACATCATTTTTCAGTTAAATAATTCATACAACAACTATTTTCCAGAAATTATGGAGAATTACTTAAAAAACCAATATTAACATTTACTCCTATTTTCTTACCTTTATTCATTTTCTTAAGAATTTTTCCATTCCCCAACAGAAATGTATTCGTTTGTACTCCTCCGTCTCCTTTAGCTTTCTCCTGTCAATTCAGTCCAACAAAACCACAAAACACTTCTCTTTCTCTCTCAAGAAGACCAACCTTCCGTTCCATTCCATTCGTCTGGTGTGCATTTATTCAAGAAACAGAACATCAACAATGG